ACAACAGAGATAACCTGTGATTAGACAAAACACGGTGGAGATTTCTAGAACTGCCTGACATAGGCATCATGTAAGATGAAGCTGACACTGTCTGAATTTCTGAAGAGGAGTAACATGATACCGTGATTTTAATGGACACATGGGTCTCTTGGGTGCACCTTCATAATTTGCGTCCACATCTACTTTGTATACACAGTGTACATGCAACCATATCCATTTTGGCTGAGCAAGAACCTGCACTTGCTCTATTTTGGGGCATGGCTGAGAAAGCCAATTGAAAAATCTGTCCCTAGAAAATGAACTTAATGACAATAGAAAGAGCATCATTTGCACCTCCCAACCACTCACCCTGATTGAAGGGGCTGGTAGAATTTAAATAAGAAACACCATTTTTCCTGGGCTAACATTTCCATTGCTTCATTTCCCATTCAGTTGACACAAGTGATCAGGAAACTAAGGAAAGAAACACAAATATTTTAAGATTATTTCAGGATGTCTTACCTTTAGAGATTGACCTAGAATGGCAACAATTTCTGAAACTCTTTCTGGATTTCTTCCTCTCCTGCCCTAAATTTATTGTGTTTATACCACCATTTATTTCAACAGATTATTTTTATATTATGTAGTCCAGTTGCCTCAGAGGGTACTGGGCCTCCATTCCTTGCCCCAGAAAACTTTGGAAAATATTAGATCTTAGGTAGGTAATCTCTGAAGTGGACTTCACTAAGTTTAGGGCCCAATTCCAGTCCTGTTGCATCTAGTGGAAAGTTGATTTCAGCAAGAGTTTAATCTTAGCATTTTGTAACCCAGATTTGGATTAGCAATTGCTTACCTGCCTTTACTAACTACTGTTACTCAGTGACCAGTTTCCAGATTACTCTGAATACTGTCTGACTTGAGCCAGCAAAGTTTTCCCTAGCCATTTTATTTCCTAAGTTAATCTATAGATAAATACCCCACATATCCATTGCATCTGTTTCCTATAGATGAACAACTGACAACTGCTGCAATGCACTATTGATATTCTCACATATTTATGTCTTTCATACATCAGCAGTAAACAATTAAGCAAAAAAGATTCCTAACAGCATAAAGACCTCACCAGCTGAACTGGATGTGTGGGACGATCAGCTGCCCATCTGAATCTGCATGGATTTTGTTACCTGTTACCCCTGTGCAACACAGTAATCAATATTAAGGGATTACACTGTAAGAACATGAGTGGGGTTCAGCTTTCTCTAAGTGACCCAAGCACATGCCCAACATGTTTGGATGAGAAGATCAAGTGAAAGATCCATTAGACAGCAAAGCAGCACAGGCCCACGTTCCTGTCGGCTGAAATCAAGGACACATTTTCAAGCTGTCAGTAGGTTAAGGAAACCTGATGCCGTCTGAAATGAGCTTCAGGCTGTGCACGCCAATGGAAGAGAAAATTGGCATTCTAGTATCCTTCAGACCCACTTTGTCCACTGCTGGGTTTCTGCAATAACTTGTTAACAAAATGCTTACCAGGGGCCACAAAAAAAGACCAGTCAGAGCTTCACGGAGCATATCCAATTATGCTCTAGACCAGTGGTCTCCAAAGTGGGGTGCGCACACCGCAGGGGGTGCGGTGCGCAAGATGATCCATTGGGGTGCAGGAAGAAAATATTAGAACTTCTATTTAGATGTATATTTCTATAAATATACATATATTGGGGGTGCATGCTCAAAAATTTTACTGATGGGGTGCATAAATATAAATATACATGTATTGGGGGTGCGTGCTCAAAATTTTTTTACTGATAGGGGTGCGCGATCAAAAAAGTTTGGAGACCACTGCTCTGGATCACATACTTCTTTCACAGGAGCTAACAGAATTGCCATGTAAAGTCTGTCTTTGCCATGTAAAGAATTTACTTTTGCTGCTCAGCCTCAGCTGAAGTCATTTTAGCCTGTGTCCCTACCCCCTCCCCACCTTTCTAAGCTACTGGTTACTAGCAAGCATGAGGCCTGACCCAAAGCCAATGAATTCAATACAAGTTTCTCATTCTCTCTGGCTTCACTTGTTTTCAGAACAGGCTCTTTGCCCACAACAAGTTATACTGCCAATAGCAGAGCACTGAGTAGGGATAAAAAGCAGCAGAACCAGGTGACCGCTTAAGAAATTAAGACCCTGTTTCAATCCAAGTGCATGTGAGATTGTAACCACCTTGTGCTCCTGAGAGGACCTTCTGCCTTAGGGATTCAAAAGGCTTTAAAAATGTGCATGAATGAAGCGGCACCATATTCCAGGAAGCAGGGAAGAAGTCTGTGCCTTGTGTTTTGTACAGCACATAAAGACACAAGGCTTATTCCTGCTTTCTGTGGTGTCAATGGGAATCTTCCCATGGACTCCAGTCAGAGCAGGACTGGAAGAAGATCATTCAGAAACCTCTGGCAGAGCCAAGACTAGAACCCAACCCCTTAGCTCCTTCACCACAAGGCCATCCTTCCTCAGAGAGCCAGGCAGAAAGTACATGGAGAAAAGCCTCAAGAGAGAACATTTTTGCAAAAAAAACCAAAACAAAACAAAAAATCCTCTGAATAATTATTATTATTAAGCTATAATATTTTGTGCATGTACACATTAAGGTCAACCCCACACATTCAGTATCATAGTCAGGCTCCCCAAAATCATAAGACAGGCATAAAATAAGTGTTGCATTGACTCTTCGTTTGGGTTTTTCAGCCTTTAGGGGTCTTGTTTTCCAGCACTTTTTCTGCAGCTGGGAGGGCTACAAACTTTTGTTTTATTTTATTTTTATTTATTTTTTTGGAAAACTGAGTTTCTCTCAATTACAAACATGATTTTAGGAGAAACACCAGACGAGATCACAACACTTGGCATCGCCATATTGCTTGGTATTCAAAGAATTTTGCAAGCCTCAGCTAACCAGTCCTCCCAACAAGGCAAAAATAAAGTAGTACTGTCTGGGGCAGAACTTTAAATGTAGGCAAGAACCCAATACAGGATCTGGGGCTAAACAAGTTCACTCAGGACCACAGTGGGAATGAGAACTGAGCGTAAAATCCAGGGATTCCTGGTGCCTGGTCTGTACTCCAACCAGACCTTTCTTAGGCTAACCAAAAGAAGGGTAATTTCAAATATCATACATCAAGTTCTATTCTTGCCAGAAGGGGGTTTAAAAGATGTAGACTCCACTGACCACTAGGGCTGTGCAAAACAGCACCGTTACGTTTCATTCTGTTGAAGCAGAAAGGCTGTTTCGCCACTGTTTCGGTTTCACTGGGGATGGGCAGTCAGGCCAGCTGGGCTGACTGCCCTTCCCCAGCACTAGATCGCCCAGCTGGGCTGCCTCCCCGACTCCCGTGCTTCATTGCACCAGGGGCGGAAGGCAGCCCCACGGCTGCCTCCCGCCCCCAGCACAATCAAGTGCAGGGGCCAGGGAAGCAGCTCCAGTGGGCTGCCTCCCGCCCCCGGCGTGATGAAGCACAGGGGTCAGGGAAGCAGCTCCGCCAGGCTGCCTCCCGCCCCCGGCACGATAAAGCACAGGGGTCGGGGAAGCAGCCCCACTGGGCTGCCTCCTGCCCCCTGCCAGATCTCTCACTGGAGATCCCCAGCCTACAGTCAAAATGTTTCGACTTCCGAAACATTTCGATCAGCCTCGTTTTGTTTCGAGGCTATTTCAACGGCCTTTGTTTCATTATGATTTTGTTGTTTCAACCTCGAAATTGGTTGAAACAGTGTCAGAACAAAACGGCCGGTAAAATTTCGTACAGCCCTACTGGCCACATCCCTTAATGTGACAGCTTGCACCTCTCTGCAGGTCCTGGGGAGTTACAGTACAAAGATGGCAGCTCATATTTCCACACCTGATGCACCCTGGAGAAGAGTTTAACAAAAGTATTTGTTTGGAGAAAGAAAAATTAAAAGCTAATGGATAAGAAATGCACACTTGGGATTCAGACAGCTCCTGTCATGGGGCTAGGGAAAGGTCTCCTTACATATAGGCATCTTTCTTTCCTTCCACTGCTAAATCCTAGTCTTGGACCGCTCTTCCTCCAAGGCTCTGTAGGGGCTGGAGGTGTTTGGATTGCTTTGAAATGTAAGTCTCCCCTCTGTTTGTTTTTGAAATGGTTAGAGAGGGAGGAGCAGGCATCCTCAGCTACCAAAGCTGAGCTTTCCCAAAACACAAGCTGCTGCTCTTTGTTTGCTTCTGCTTAATTAGCTGTGTAGCTAATTAGCGGTGGGTTCCCTTTGGCTTTCCTGAAACCAAAGCCACCGTCTCAGTGGAAGTCCACTAGAGAAGTTGTCAGAGCTGTGAATGGATCCCAGCTGGCCAGCTGCCCTTTCCCCCCCACCTCCCGCCCAGTGCAAGCACTAGCAACACTAATGTGGCCATGGAGATGTGTGGATCTCTTAATCTGCATTATACATCTGATTGCCTGGTCCAAACTGGCTCTGTCTTTGGTATGGGAGCACCCTTATTTACTTTAGTGACAGAACTCGTGGGTTCTCATCTAACATCAGTCCGACTTCCTGGGAGCACTTCCCATTGGTGGGGAAGTGAGGAAAATGCAAGAGAAAACATCAGCTGGCTGGAGCAAGATTGTATCAACTTGGGACTGCTTCCAGAGTATGCTGCTGTTGTGGTTTGCTTTTTACACAGGGTGAGCCCAGCCCATCTGTAACTGGCTCCTATAGGAGCCGGAGAAAGCCCCAGTCTCACACTTTGGGGAGCTGTCACTGCCAAAGGTGTTGTGGCCAAAATTCGGGTCTGGGTCTAGGTATAAGGATGATGGAAGACCCCTAAAAGAGGTGTCATGTGAAGATTTTGGGGCCTACTGCAGCGCCACCTAGGTACCATGTGCACATAGCCTATAAAGGGTGTGTGTTGGTAGAGCCCGGTGTGCGTGGTGTTGTGCAGGACCGAGAGCGTGCGTCTAAGGGTGTGTCTGCGGGTGGATGTGTGGCTGTGAGGTTTTGGGTGTGCGTGTCCGAAGGCACGCGTGTGTGGGTAGTGTGGTCAAGGGAGTGAAATTGATTGAGGCCCGTGCTGGAAATCGACTGGGGTGTGAGAGCATAGGGAGAGATGGACTGAAGGGGGAGATGGGCACCCCGTGGAGGCTGTGCTGTGTATACTCCAGAGGCTCGAAGGTCTCCCTGCGGTTGTTCCCCTCTGGATCCACTTCTACACCAGAATAAATAGAGTCGACTCCCCAGACTTTTCCTCCCTGGGTGTGTGTGCCTTTGACATAGAGTGGCCCTTTTACTTTATTAGTAAGCATTGCCTCAATCCCTCCCTCCTCCTTCTGCCCTTTTACTCAGTAAGCATCCTTGTTAGAAAGGCAGCGGGGTGGGAGGTAAGCTGTACTGGAGGAGGGATGGCTGGTGACCGATCAGACAGCGGTGGAGATAAATAAAATTACTCCTGCCCCTCTGCAATATGTTCCACTCCTTCCTCGCTGCTATAGTTAATTGATTAATGTTTGTTGATTAGTTGTGGTTAGTATTTAAGAGCGTAAACCTGTGATTACCTGCTGATGTTTTTACTTGTTAAATGTTGCTAGTTGTTGTTGTCTGTTAAGAAACTGTGCTATTGGTTTCATTGCTAATTGATTGTGTGTGGTAGTTAACCTAACTTCATCTAATTGCCTGGTAAATTGGGTAGTGATAGATATACCCTGGTTTACCAGCTAATTGTCTCAGGGCCAAGAAACACCTCCCTTTATGTGAGTGGACTGTAAAAGGTACAACCCATTGAGCGACCTCATTTAATTAGGCGCTTAATTAAGTCCCCGCATAACAAAGGAAGCACTTTAACCCTGCATCCTAGTGCTGTTCAGCACTGCGGAGATAGAGGAAGGACGCAGGCTGTGCCAAGCCCAGGGGGCCACTAAGATTGTTTTTCCCCTTTCCTGCTCCTCTCTGCCCTCCTCCCTGACATGTTTCTATCAGCAGGTCCCTAAAGAGAGGGGAGTTTATTTAATTCCCTACTGATGCCAGATCCTGTTGGTGCCAGAATGACGGATGGGCAGAACCTGTGACTGGCAGGAGGAGGGATGTTCTTTCCATTAGAGACGCAGGGAGACCGAGCCCACACAGCTCTCCCGGCCTCCAAGAGTTCCTCTGGCTGCAGCTCGCTCTCCTTCCCCTCTCCCCCCACTCAACCACCAGTCATGGCGCATGGTGGGGCGGCACTCTCGTCCAAGGAATGCAGGGCCCCTCATTGGCATCCCAGGATCCCGCAGCAATTCGCCACCTGTTATGGCAGTGTGAGGCTTTTTGGTGGTGTGCGGCTGGGCAAACAGCTTCTGGACCCAGGCCAGAAGCTGAGAAAGGCGCTGGAGACAGTTTGGCAGGCCTCACCTTCCAGAGCAAGTCCCAAAGTGCCAAACCACGCCTCTAGGAGCACTGCGACCAGGACATTTCCACAGGCAAAAGCTCCACCAGGCTCTACATGGATTTCAATCACTGGTACCTACCAAGCCTCACCGTGAAGCTGCCCATCCTTCCTCTGGTAGAGATGTGAGCAAGCTAGAACCCAGGGCCCTGCTCCCCCAGGACAGGCCCATCTACACACGCTTTGTGGAACAAGCTTATCCTACAGATGCTGTGGCAGAGCCACCAGCTAACACACCAGTTAAAGCGACGATTATGTTTACCAGCCTTCCCTTCACACCCAGCCTTCAGGCCATGCTTCCTTCTTATCTTGCTCTTTGGGCCTCCTGGAGCCAACCAGAAGCAGAAGTTTCCAAGCATTTGAGCAAGCCCATTCCTTGCTGCAGCACCCTAGAGCAGTGGACGCCAGCCTTTTTAAGTAGGGGATACCCTTGGCATTTAAAAGCAAACCAAGATCTACCATGCACTGCCACCATCACCCCCCACTCTCCCCCTGCCCAGCAGGTAAGTCTGTAGGGAGGGAAGGGGGGTGCAGATCATGGCAGAGGGAGAAAAAATTATTTGGGGGTGCGCCTCCCCAACAGGTAAGTCCCACCCAGCCAGGGCCCCACTCAACTTAACCCAGTTCCTGCCGCTACAGCATTGTCCCTCACCGCAGGGGCCTCGATCTAGCCCCCATCCCATCCCTCCCCCATGGACTGACCTTCTGGGCTGGAGCATGTGCGTGCATGCACGCGGGTACTCAGCGCCCCCCCCCAGCCTTGGATCACCTCCAAGAGGCTCCAAGATCTACCAGTGGATTAAGATCCACTGGTTGATGACCACTGCCCTAGAGGAACCCAAAATCCCTCCTCCAGAGACACTGCCAAGGGGCAGACAAAGCCCCTAAAGTGAACCACAACTCCAGACCCTTTGAGCCTCTACCAGAACAGCCAGGGATTTAACATGCAGGGAGAACTGCGCTGTCCAAACTTTAAGGGTAGCTCCCTGCACCAGTCCTTTGTTTGGCCCCACAAGCCACACTTTTCTGTCTGTTCCCATTGATCCATGTGTGCTACTGACATGTCCTTGCCACACTGCAACCTTCTCCAACAGCCAGACCCCCCCGTCTGCCCACAGCTCCTGCCCCAGCTGCAGCTTTGAAACAGGTGCATGTACCTCACACTCTCTCTGTACCTCAGCATCAGTAATTGGATTCCAGGGGGAGAAGCAGACCTGTGGGACCCCAGCAAGTACACCCTGGACAACAGCTTGCAACTGTCCCAGTTGATGCAGGGGACAGCAGCCATCAGCCACAAAGTATCCCAAGCCTAAGATCTTTACCTGCCCCGAGAGCAGTGTGGACCAAAGGGACAAGTACCACGCCCACCACACTCTCCATTTCCTATGCTGCCCCCCAAGTCTGTCCATCACGGTTCTTTCCATCAAAGCTCAGGGATATTCAAACAACTAAGCCCATGATACTGAAAGGGACATTCATACAATTTGGATCAAGGATCTAGACTCTGAACCTCCCAAACAGTTTACAGATATTTGAATCGCGGGTTTCACTTCAGACTGATCTGTCCAAAAAGACTTAGGAATATTCTTAAATTTTGTTTAAAAAAAATTATCTGACCAGCAAGACAAACACCTGGAGATTACTAACAGCTACAGCAACACATCTAAAAAGACAGGACTATTTAAAAATGTCTTAGTTTGTGTCTGCATGCATATGCAAGTTCCAGAAAGAAAGAGCATATAATAGTCATGAATGTACGTAGCTCTGTTTCCACACAATAAAAAGCCACAGGAAGGAGAAAGTCAAAAAGGTCCTCGGTAAGAATTGTATTAACAATCACACCATTACATCCAAAACTTCTCTTTTGCCTTGGTCTGTTGAAATAGGAAGAAGACAGCACTAGAGCAGAGGATTCACTCCCAAACAAGAGAAAGAGAAATCCTTATAAAGGTTATGATCTTCCCCAAACTGAACACCGGATTTCAGCTCAGAGGTGCTACTCTCCACTACATTTTACACAAGGAAGAAACATCATATGGTGCCCACTAACTTGGGATTTGCCATTCTTCATTTCTAGTTTCTGCAAACTGGACAACATCCTAATTCTTGCCATCACTCCCTTTTAGGGAGTTTGCTGACTTTTAGAGTCACCTGCGAAAGTGGTATAATACTAGGCACGAGAAAGACCTTTCTAACTGCATTCCCTGGGCACTCCTCAAAGCTTGCCAAGTTAAAATGCTAAAACACCCCATGCTTTTGCTACTATAATGAGATCAAGATAACCTTTGGCATCTCAAATGACGGAGGTCAAGTCAAAGTGTCCTTTGACCTCTCTCTATAACCTTGAGTCACACTGTGAGATTACACAGAAAGTATGGATCATTCGGCTCGAACCTGATGCAGGGGAAGACTCCAAGCTTTAATTACCCTTCAGCTGACATGTTCGATCTATTCCACTATAGGTGCTCCAAACAGACTGCCTTGACAGCTCCGTGTCTTGAAGAAGTTTCTCTTCAAGGATAAAGCCCCTTGTAGAACAGATCTCCACTTTAGTATCATTAAAGTAAAGCAAGCATATCACCAGACTGACTCATTAATGTTCAAGTCACTGAATCTTTCTGGGATACAATTAAGGAAATAGTTTCTTGGAACTTTTTCCCTCCATAGGCTAAGATTTTCCATGAAGAAGAAAAGGGCAGGATCTGAGCACTGACTCCCACCTAGCAAACAAACTACTACACTCCGTAACAGTCCCAGCAAGAGGCCTGATGTTGATGAATAGCAGGTGCCAGCAAGGAAAGTCAGCACTGAGCTCACCTACTCTTCTGTCAGCCATACCCAGAGCACAGAACGTAAGCCAAGTCATTAGTAAGCTTTCCACAATGAAGAGGATTCATTTCGGGACTTTTTGTGGAAGCCAAAAGAAGTCGAAGTAGCAATAAAGGCTCAATGCTTATCTGGAAAAAGCTGATAAATGGAGAGGTGCATTCAAAGAGGTTTCAGGCACCTTGCAGAAGGTCTGGGATGCTGGAAGCTATAGGGGTAAAGGGGCAGGGAACGGATCAGACTGGAAACACCCTGCTGGATAACCCCCCTAAACATAAAACAAAATGTTGGAGTTAAAAAATAAGCAAGCTGCCGATTAGGCTTGACCCTAGTTTCAGTTATGCTGAGCGAATCTGGAATAATTTTACTACAAATCAGTGGATTCATTCTGGAATCAGGCTGATGAAGTGGAGATTAGGGATGTATTGTCAAGGTCCCATCCCAGTTTATCAAAATTGGCTCATCAGCCATGGCACAGGAGTTCAGGGCTGCTTTGGCATGAGAAATAAAGTATTTTTTTAGTAGTAACACATCACCAACTTCTGGAACCAACTTCCAAGAGAAGTGGTGCTGGCTCCTACCCTGGGGGTCTTTAAGAGGAGGCTAGACGAACACCTTGCTGGGGTCGTTTGACCCCAGTACTCCTTTCCTGCCATGGCAGGGGGTCAGACTCGATGAGCTACTCAGGTCCCTTCTGACCCTAGAAACTATGAAACTATCACTGGTGTGTCTGGTGCTTCACAGAAAAGTAAGATGGCAAGATCCACTCCCCAATGAGGTTATAATCTAAATTAAAGACCTTACACAACAAGTGGAGAGAACAGGTCAGGGCGTGGGAGAAGGTGCAACAAACCGAAAACAAGGGAAAGGAAAGACTCTTCTTTGGATGGCACAAGCTTTCAGAGAAAGTACGTCATGTCATATGTTTAGCTATCTATTTTGGGCCAAAATAGCAGCAGGCAGCACTGAAGAAGAAGGGAGTGGTGGGGAGAAAATCAACTGCTAGAGCTAACATTCATTGTGCAATTTAAAGGAGGCATGAAGGTGCCAGTAATGTTAGGTAGAAAAAATTATTTAGCTACTTAGTCCAATTCTGAAAAACTTAGAAGGGATCATGCAGGATAAATTGTTGTACTCTTTACAGACAGAGAGACAAGGTCAGGGACAGTATTGCCTTCTCAACAGTAGCCCTAGTCAGCTACAAGTCAGAGGCTCAATGACAGGAATAAGAGGCTCATTGCATTGCCATGCAGATGCCTGCTACAGCTGTAGTAAAGATGCTGGACGAACAGCCAAGATCCAAACTCCTCACACACAGGAGCCAGTGAATGCCCATCACATCCAGTCATCATAACCTTGATGGTATTTGAGTGGGTAACCTGGAGATTAAAGATTCAGCTTGGAGATGATTAATTATCAGGTGTCTCAGAGACACTGACTTTTATTTTTTTGTCTCCACAATTAAAACAGCAAAGCAGATCAAACATTTTTCAGAGCACATTCTTTTTAAGCAAATGGTGCCCTCTCCTGGGCAGTGGGAGCAGGACGAGCCAAGCAAAATTCTTGGAGGTGAGAAAAATGACCAGGCAGCAAAAATCAGAGGTGGGTGAGCTCGAGCTCCTCTTTCCAGACTCGGAGAGTATTTGGATCGGATTCATCCGAAGTAGGGTCCAGTGTTTGGATCCAAACGTATGGCACATCTTTTGAGACAGGAGCAGCAAATCCAATAAACCTCTTGCCTACTTTGCTGTGACAGGGACTCCCCAGGCATTAAGATGGACAGTTCAGTAGAGAATGGGGACTTGTCCCCATTTCATGAAATCCCTCTTTCATCCTCCCTGTCTGAGACATTTCCAAGGTACCTACTACTTTGGACCAGACATAGGTAAGAAGTATCTCGTGACCATCTGATGAAGTGAGCTTCAGCTCACAAAAGCTTGTGATCCAAACATGAGGGGAAGAGGGACCAAAGTGTGTGTATACTCTCCCCCTCTCTCGTTACTCTGTAAGGTACACGTCTACACTGACTTCTACTTGACTTCAAACTAACATGGCTAACTACATCTCTAAGTAGTAGGTAAGCCAACAACGTGGTCCAAACACTCCTAAGTCACTGATTATCAGGGCAACATTGAATTTCAGCCCTGAGAAAATGAATACTGTACGACATGCTACACCCAAGGTGGTGGAGAGCGGGGAGGAAGAGGCTTCGGGCAGAAGATCCCTGGCTCCTCCACACCCATCTAGTGACAACAAAGGACACGAGGTAGACAGGGCCCAGCCGGAGGCACCTCACCAACAATCAGCCCCTGTGTATTTGTTTGCAGAGAACAGGCCCCTTCAGCACATGCTGAAGTGTATCAGCCTCTCTTTATTACTGATCTATGATGGCTTAGAGCCTGAGGGGGAAGCATCACAAGCACAGACCTTTCTATTTGTTCAGAGTGGAAGAGAAGGGATTATCTGATTAGGGGACAAAGCAAGTGTCCCATAAGTTCAAGCCGTGTTCAGGCCCAAAGTGAAAACAAGCTGGGCTACTGGTGCAGTGATGGGGTAAGATAAAGGGAAGGGAGGCTCATTTCAGAAAAGAAATGAAGGGTAAATTGTTCTTTTCTTTCCTGTTCGTGTCAGCCGATGATGAATTAGGAATCCTTATTCCAACTGCACGCCGATCGCTGGAAAGCATCTCTCCATCAAGCCCATATGCTGGATGTTTGGCTCCATCGAGGGCCAGCGGGCTGTCTTACCTAGCAGGAGCTCAGTGCAACCCCCAGTTCCTTTTACTTTTAGTTACAGAGGAAGCCAAGAGGGGTGCAGGCCATCAGCTGCCAGGTGGGTTGGGAAAGTTCCCCACCACCATCAGGGCAGACAAACTGAAAGAGAAGGAAGAGGCAAGCACTCTTTGAAGAGGTAATTCAGCTTGTAACAAATGGACCTTTCCATGATGGAGGAGCAGAGACCAGCAAAGACTTGATTCTTGCTTACAGCAATACACAATTTTAGGAGTTTAAAGAGGCCTGAGAGTGGCTGGAAAAATAACGTATGACCCCAGTGTAACGGGGCTTTAGTGTAAATGCAGCTAAGACCCCAAAAGCACAAACACAGCATGGCAGATTCAGCAGACAGGGATTCCACCTAAGCAGATGGATACCAAGGCAGGATGAGGTAAATCAGCCAGCAGCTACTCCTCATGTGGATCAGCAGTGTGATCATGCATCCTATGGACTATCTAACTTCCTATTTATTCTGGTCAACAGGACGTGGGCTCACATAATCCACTGTGAGGGCAGGTCTCGCATGACTAAAATGCCTAGGTACAAAGACTTTCATCACTGAAAGGAAGTCTCCATTCAACTTGCTCACCTCTTCCTACCCTCCATACCTGGGATGTATTGCTGCCATTTCTGAACTGCACATAACCCCACCAGGCTCTAAGCATCCTCAAAGCCCCTCCAGTGTTCATTAGGAATCAAGGATAGACCGTGTTGCACAAAGTCAGGCTCTTCCATGCCTGCTGATGCCTTTTGGAAGAAGCCAGAGCGTATCTTCATTAGGTGTGCCTATCTTGTAGACTGCTTGTGTGTCCTATACTTTCATGGCTCCTTGTCCAGGGTCTCTCTGTATTCTGTCTACATGGGAGGGAGGCAGGCAAGACAATGGTCCGGTCTTCCACTCCCTCTCTCTGCCAGTGGAGAACTGCTTCCTACAGACGGTGCCAAGCCCTTCGTCAAGCCAAGGCTGAAATACTTCAGGGAAAAGCATTCTTCAGCTCCCCTTGCCAGCCTCCTCCACACTCTAAACTGCCCTGCTATCAAGTCTTTTCTTCATCCCTCATGCTATTCTGCTCTGAACCAGAAAGCAATTCTCCCCACTCAGTGCTCACATGGCCAAGAGAGACTTGTACCAGCTACAGAGAACTTACAACTCAACATGCATCATATGTTACCGATCCTCTGCAGCAGGACACAGAGGCACTAGCTCTACCCGAAACAGAGGCAAGCAGAGCGCTGGGGTAGGGGGCTCAGGAGGTTGTCTGTGGTGGGCATGTTCCCCTCAGTGCTGCCATGGTCTCTCCACTTTTACTGGCTTGCTTGGGACGCTCAAGGAGCAAATATTCATCTCACCCCCCAGCCGTGTATAGGGAAGGCGAAGTGCAGGATTTGGGCTGCTGCCAATACAGCCATGTTCGTGGAGGTAAGGAAAAAGGGGAAGGCTTCCTACCTCTATACCGGCAAAGGAGCTGGTTCCCTGGCTCTGTAACCCTCAGAGAGGCATTTTGCAAGAGCAACACTAACCCTTAGATATTCAAAGGCCAAGTTATTTCCTCCCTGTTCATTAGAGAGAAGAGCCTCCTGCTGAAAGACCCTTTCTCAAAGCTGGTTGCAATGATGGCTGGTGAAAGAGGCCTCTTACCCTGAACTAATCCCTGGATGCAAATGAGCATTAGTCCAGTGCTTCCCAGGACTCTCGGCTGCTGGGGAAGAGGGGAGACATTGGCTTTTGCCTGGCTGATACTCATGCTGAAAGGCGAGTCGTTTCCAGTCTATGGGAGCCATTCTGGCAAGCCTACATTAGAGAGGGTGATGACACTAAGTTACACAGGTGACTAAATTTCACCTGTAAGAAAAGGGGCAGAAGACGTTTTAATGTTGGGTATGCCAAGGAAAAGCACCTTCTCTTGGTTAACCCCTGACCCCTAGGCATTCCCACACACAGGGACCTATGGCCTTTGCTCTAGGTAGAGTAGCCACCCCACGGTCTCCCTGGCAAGTCACCTAAGCTTCCAGTCTGCTGGATGCTGCTAAGCAGGGCTGTGCATTGTAAGTAATTGACCTTTATGCAAGTGCATTTTGAAGATGTGTTTTCCCTCTGGTGGCATTATCAGCACCTCCCCTTCCCAGGTGCCCCCTTCTTGACGAGGCCTCAATTAACTTATGGCCTCAGGCTATAAATCAAGTCAATAAAAGAGTCTGTAAAATAAACACAAACGGGCCTTCCCCTTTCCATTCAGATGTAGCGAAGTGGCAAAGCCCCTTTTTCTAGGCACCGTTTAGAGACCTCGTGCTTCACTGGCCTCACAAGAGGGAATTCAAGGTGCTCAGATATGAATACCAGTGACCAGGTCACTGGGGTGCTGGTGGCTTGGAGGAGTGTGCCCCATGGCTCAGAGGTCATCCCAAGGTCACTCTGCTGTCTGTGTAGAGGAAGCAGCTCTGATTTACAGTTCACAAGAGACTGCAAAAAACTCCAAAAATCAAGCCACATACAGGATTTTAGAGATGAGTATTAAATAGGCAATACTATTTTATTATTAACCCCAGCCTTCCAGCATATAAAGGCATGAATGCAACCCAAGCATCACACTGCATTTTACCTTAAGTGAGAAAAACAGTTCTCTAGTTAGAGCCAAATTTTGCTGTCAGGGATGCCTTCCAGGCCAGCCAGGTGTCAGTGACACTAGAAAGTTTAGTTTCACATTTATATATAACCTTGGGAGGAAGAATGAGGTTATAAAAACCCGTTGTTTATTTTAAAATAGTACCTCAAAACACTTGCCGAAATTAGGCAGCCATTATACCAAGCCCCATACAACCGCAGACGGACCCTACCATGAAAACCTTAGTCTAAACAGGAAACTCAACTGGCAGAACAAAGGCACAGAGAGATGGAGCAGTTTGTCCGAGAGTAGTGATAAAGACCTGGCTCCAAACCCAGTTGTCCATCCCAGCAAACAATTGTGCCAAACGCCAGTGTCTCCACCCAGCACCTCTGCTCCAAGCAGCTGCTCTGGGGATGCAATGAAGATCATTTTCCTATTAAGTGGAAGTTTTGGCTTGTTTGCTGCGCAATACATCTAGAGCAGTGCACAATACAAAGTGAGGCTGGTATTAGAGAAGGGGCTTTAGAACTACCTGTTGCCCCTGAACGAAGCTGCTGTCATGCAGTCTTTAACTGAAGATGTGTTAAACAAATCTGGAGACCACGAGGATCCAATTCATCTGCAGGTCATTCTGGTCTTATGGCCTTGTGATTCTTTTGAGTGACTTCTAATTTACACACCAGCTTGAGAAAAGGAACAGACTCCACGGGACTAACCGGCCGAGTCTATACATTGCCCTGCGGCGACGTAGCAACACACTACGTTGCCATACAGTGCACTATGGTGACACGGCAATCACCTGTGTCTACATGTGATCACTAGCTGTGCCACTGTAACAACACGCTCCCTAGGTATAGCGTGCCGCTACAGTGATAGCAGTGAAATCACACGGTGCAGTAACCACCTTGTACTGCACCATCCAAAAAGAAGTACTAAAGCATGGCACCATAGCAATGTCAGCATATGGCAATGTGTAGATGCACCCACTGAGTACAAATAAATTACTTCTCTCTCCTAGATGCCACACTACAGATGATCAATGTTGCTGTGGTTGCATTGGCCTCATGATTAAGCCAAGATTAAGAGAAGTATTCTCCAAATTCAAACTTGGCACCTGTAGTGCTTTCTCTTAGGCTCTCCTCTGTTTGCCATGTCTCTGGAATGTCCTTATGTCAAATATTTTCTTACTTAGCAATGACCAGCTAGTTCCCTTCCAGATAGAGATCATATATCCTGTTAAAATGCCCATTGCAAAGGCAGGCAGGGGCTATTTCAGGTCCCACCTGATGGGAAATACAAAACACTTCGCTGATATAGACAAAGCAGTCACAGCAAGACTACCATGAGCAGCAGCCAGCTAGTGACCTGAGGCAACAGCTATGGACTCCTTTACCCTTCAGCTGTTGCAAGTGGCTATAGGCAACTTCCCCTACATCCTCCACTGCCTTGGTCATGGATCAAGGGGAAAGGACGGAAAACGAAGGAGCACAGTTCTCCAGGAATGGACATATTCCCTTAGCCCATTCCCAATGGGAAAACAAGATTCCCTGAGGAGCATCCAACAAGTTAAAATGCTCTCTGGCCTCTTGTGCCTGTTTGGAGCATCCCCAAGACCTAGAAATGCCAATAGGCTGGAATCTAAGATCCCAGAATGCTTACGGCCCACAATCTGGCACCCATTAATGCCAAAATACCTGGCAGTTGTTAGTACTGTAGTAAAACTGCAATTTGTCTGCTCCATCTTTCCCCATCACCTCATTCACCTTTGCATCCAAGCACCAGGGATTTGCTTGTTTCTTTCATAACATAGCAACCGCCATCTGCAACAGCATTACCAAAAAACATTTTCTTCTGTGCCAGTTCTGCCACCTCCCATCATGAGAATCTAATTATTCTCATCTCCCGCCACACCCCTGCCCTTTTCTGAAACCTTTGCAAGTCCCATGTGGGCAATTAATTTGAATCAATAGACTCCGGCGCTTATTGCCCCAGAGTTCGTTACTCCCAGGCACTCTGTTTGAATGTGCACCCAGGACCACAGCACACTGAGCCAGGTCAGAGCAGCCCCTGCTGGCAGAGGACTCATGGGGTCCAACCCAGCTGAACATGCTGCAGAGGGGCTGGCTGGGGCAGCTTTAGTGTGGGACTAGCCAGCAGGCAGCCCCCATGCTAAGGCACCCTCATGTCCCAGCCAGCCAGGTTGGCATCTGTACATGTGCTGCTGTGAATGAAAAACTCCGCAGTAGGGTAACACTTGTATTTACAAGCACTGTCTTGCTGCAGAGTGTATTCATTCCCTGCTGTCTAATAGTATGAAGCATGTGTAGATGCTGAGACATTGCTGTGGAGCTACTCCACAGTAAATGTCTTGTGTAGACACACCCTGCTTCCAAACTATATCTAGTGCTTCAGCCCTGTTCCCCTCCTGCCTTACTGCAGATGACTTGCCACTCCTTATCTCCCCCTGGCCCCACCATCTCTCCAGCCTTTCCTTGGAAGTGAAGCAAGGAAAAAGTCATGAGGAACAAAGGGTCTTCTGAACTTCAAAACTGCAAAAAAGCTCCAGCCCCGTGAAAGAGCCTCCAGCTGCAACAGTTAAATGGCTTTTTTTTTTTTTTTTTTTTTTTTTTTTTT